TTTTTTCGGGTGCGCCCTTACCCTTCTGGTTGATCTCCTCCTCAGTGGCTATGAACTTATCCGCAAGCTTTAGGAACTCGGTTATGGTCGCGGGTTGGTTGACGACCATGTGCCACTTGAACACTTTGTGCTTCATGCCCTTCTTGGCTGCTGCAAGGCGTACGGCGGGGTTCAGGCGTGGTATCTGCATACAAGCGTCGTTGAACCGCTTGATATAATTTTGGATGGACTCTCCCTCTCTTTGTGCTATGTTGAAGATGCTTTCTTCACTCCGCGGGCACCATTCGCTGGTGACAAAATGGGACGTGAAGGCTTGTGCGAACTGCGCCCAAGTTCTTATCGACCCGGGTGCCAAGTTCAAGTACCACGTGCGGGTTTCTCCCCTGAAAGTAGTGGAGAAGGCCACGCACATGCATGACTCACTAGCTCACGCTTGGTGCATCTGCGACTGAAAGGCATCTACATGATCATTTGGGTCGAACGACCCGTCATACTTGTCAAGAGAGGGAAGTTTGAAATCCTTGGGCATCGGGACTGCCAAGAGTTCGGAAGACAGGGGGGACGGAACCGAGAGGAGGGGAGCCTTGGCTTCAGTCGAGCCCACCTCTTCTTTACCCATGAGCTCGGGCAAATCGCGGGTGATAGATCGGCGAGCTTGGTGGCTGCGTCTTTGCTTCTTGGTGGGTTCGGCGTTCGTGCTGCTCACCTCTGCGCTGTCCAAAATGGTTTGCGCCGGGAGTAGCCCGGTCTGCTGGTGATGGTTGCGAACAGAAGGGGCCTGCTTGGAGTCTGTCGCCAGGATCTCAAACCGGTTTTCAAGGATCGGGGTTCCGAACTTCGACTGTCGAGGCGACGTTGACCTACCGAGCCGGGGTCCTCTCGACCTGTCCGCCCGCGGCGAGATCGGGGTAGCCGGTCTCTCCCGTCTGCCGTTGGGGGAGGCCTAGTTTTTTGGGAGATTTTGGGGGGGCTCTCCTCGGTCGGAGTGCTCGCTCTGGCGGTGAGATTTGGCTTGCTGCGAGGCCAGGTGCTGAGGCTGGGGTTGGGGCAGCTGGGGGAACTGCTGCTGATACTGGTACTGGGAGACCTGGTGCAGCACGTGCTGTTGATAGAGCTGAAGTTGTTGGAACTGTTGCATTTGGGCCTGCATGGCCTTCATGCACTGCATTAGGTCCTCCAGCTGGTTCGGGCTGGCCGCTGGGGGCATGACCGAAGGTTCGGTGAACGTCGTTCCGACTGTAGCGGGGAGTGGGGCAATGACAGGTGCCATTGTGAGAGGCACATTCAAGCTGGGGATTCCGTTCGCTGAGAGGGGGACGGTGAACTGTCCGATACAGACAGTAGAAAGCTGGGGTTGTTCCCTGGAGTTACCCATTTCCGTGCTTCATCTGACGTTGCTAGAGGAAGCCATGAGCGTTGGATTGTTTCAAGGAAGAAGAAGGAACTGAAAGAGTTTAGAGGGAAAGGCCTTTTGAAGCGATTCCCACAGACGGCGCCAAATGATGTGGCGCGATTCGGGCACTCCTAGCTGGCTGCTGACTGGCTGCTTGTTGGCAACGAGCGGCACCTGAGAAGATGAAAGGAAGGATTCCCGGGGATTTTCCCGGTGGGAATACTCCGATGCTTAAGTTAGTACTGTGTATGGGAAGTAAAGAGAGAAACGAAGGCTAAGAGTGGAGGTCGCGCTTTATCACTATACTCGAGAGATTAGAGGTCTCAAGAAGAAGTTTCTCCTCTGCCCCGAGGGCTTTTATAGGAGCGCTCTTGCGAGAGCGGGCATAACCGCCACTGGGTCCCTGCCACAGCCGTTACCTGCCAGGGCTGCGCAGGTGGCCGTTGGGATGTACTCCTTACTCGGGCGAGTGACACGTCCCCAAAGTGACAGGCACGCCTCCGCCTACTGAGAGACGTGGGCGCAGACTGTCAAAAGGACAGGGACTACGCCGTCAGTTAGGGACGTGGCCCAGTCTAACTAGTACGACTTATTAAATAGAAGCATCCTGAGGAATGCTTGTGCGGTCCATTCGCGAGCTACTTTGCAACAAGTTTCGAATATTTCAGAAGTACCCTTAGTAGAATTGTTCCTCGGGATGACTTGTCTTGTTCGGGAGCTCAGGCGAGCTGGTTTTCTTAGCTCGCAAGTTAAGGTTTGCCTCGGAATATCCCTTTAGAGGTAGCTCGAAGAACCCGGAGCTCGCATTGTGGCGAGCCCCTCCTTTAGCCCACTACCATGTAGCGAGCTGCTTTATGGGCCCATTACTTAGTTGTACTGGACCAGAATGCTGAGCTGTCGCTTACGTTGAGTCAGCATCCACGTGTCGCCATTTCATAGGTCGGGTCAAATCATCTTTCATCAAGTGTTTATTTTCACTCAAAGTTATTATAAAATTAGTATAATATATTCAACAAAACAATTTCTTTTAATTGGTTAGCCGTAACTATTTAAAATTACCATAAGTTATCAATGAATTTTTGTTTTTTAATAAATTAACATTAATTGTGTAAGGTTGCCAGAAATTAGTAATATTTAAAAATCAACAATTAATAACATTTAAAAAGTAGGAAAAAAACTAAAACTAAAATAAGTAAAATTTAAATTTAAAATGTAGTATCATTTAAAAATAATAATTAATTACATTTATAAAGTAGGAAAACTAAGTAAAAACATGTAAAAATTAAAATTTTAAAAAATAAGTAAAAAATTTAGTAAATTTAGTGAAATTTAATAAAAATCATAATAAAATAAAATAAAATTCTGATTAATTTAAAAATTAGGTTTAAGGCGTTGAAGCCCGAAACTTGGGATTTATGTTGAGTATTTTTGTTTTTCTTATGAATTAGTTGAGGAATTTGTATTGATATCTTTAAGAATATGGTTGGGTGTGTATGAATGTATTTGAATATGTTTGGGTATATTTGGATATAATTGGAAATTATTATTTTATTTTTGAAATGGAAAAGAGTAAAAAGAAAAAAATAAAATAAAATGAATTTGACATCATAAAAGAAAAGGCGATGAATAGGGATCTGCATAGGGATTGGGTTGTCTGGCATCTTACTTTGTTAAGTAATAGCATCTCACAAGTGGTTATTACCACTTTCAAATAAGAGTCTATCCATTCTCAAAAAAGTGAAAGTGGTTAACTCCACTATCAATGAAAAAGTTAACACTCGTGGCATCATTTCCCAAAAAAAAAAAAAAAAACTCCAATTGATGGCTTTTTCAAACAAAAACTATTTTAATCGTTCCTTTCTCTTTCTCAAACAAAGTTGCCATTTCTCTTATTTTCAACGTTTGTGTTTTTCTTTTCGCTTTTTTCTCCTAAATCCCATCAATCTGCAAGAAAAAAAGCTTTAGTTTCATTCCATTGCATACAATCAAATGACAACATCACTGAAGGTTTTGTTAGTCCAAATAAGGTTGGTTTTATTGTTACTGTATTTTTATATTGCAATACTGAAAATATAGAGTTTGCGAGTCCAAAGAATGTTATGTCAAATTGTCGGTTTATCCTGACATGAAAGAGATTAAATAGTAAATGTGATTTCTGAATTTATGGTTGGTTACTAACCTACCCACTACTACGTTTATTATGTTCTACGAACTTGGTTTTTGATCCCTAGTTGCTCCCAATCTATATACATTATAAATCTTTTTTATGTGTCTTTTGATGTACATGCTAGATTGAAATAACATACTTCCTGATGAGGGTGGATTTGGCCTTCCAATGACATTGTGACACATGGTACCTCAGAATAAATATGTGACACCCGAAACCATTCAGGCAACAACTTGCCAAGTTGATGATATCCAACCTGGTGGCCTGGCCCAGGCACCGACCTGGCGACTTGCGAGACGTGCTCGCCGCCAAATTCGGCATGCATACCCCACGATCATTGGAGGTTGGCCCTCATTCCGGAAGATGATCAACGTGCATGGTAGTTACCTCCGAGGATCTCGGACCAGTTAAACACAACCTCCCGGAGATCTCGGGGGCGGTACATGAGCAAGGCCTATATAAAGGCACCAACTCCAATGACAGGGGGGCGAGTAAGCAAATAAGCAAGTTCTAGCTCTCAGACTTTGTGATTTTTAGCTCGCAACTACTATGAGAGTACTGACTTAAGCATTGGAGCGACCTCGCCGGGTTAGCCACCCCGGGTCCTTTGACATTTGGTTTCTTGCAGGTCTCAAAAGAGCAATGAAGTTCATCAATTCAGCTCGCCAACAGGCAGGTCCGCCCTCTGGTCAGCCTAGCACCTCACAGGCAACTCGCCTCCTAGTCAGCTCGGCACCTCATAGTCAGCTCGCCACCTAGCCCGCCTAGCTTGATTCAGCTAGCCATTCAGGTCCTCATCTAGCCAAAGTTCACTTAGCCTGAGTCATCGGCCACTTGGAAGCAGACCAAATGACGAGGTACTTAACCAAAAAATCAATACATCAACAAAAATCGATCCATCACTTCCCATCCATAAAATATTGGCTTGATCAAGCCAAGCCATGATCTAAATAATTGATATGGTCAATCATAACAGACCAGCCTGATAGAGTTTGAAGATTGAACGTACGTTAACTTTCAGGCCATGCTCTTTTTTCAGAAACACATTTACCTAGGTAAATGCACTTACCCATGTTCTTTTTTTTATTTACCCTAGTAAAGAAAGTTTCGTATTTTCCCATGTTCTTTTGCAACAGCCACTTTCTTGGGTAAATTGCTATTATTTCATCTCTTTCCAATTTTACCCTTTGGACATGGATTTGAAAAACATGTCACAAAGTCTTAAATGCCCCTAAAATTTTTGGAAATAAACCATGCTGCCTCTTCTTTTAAACCCAATTTGAGCCTAATTCAAGTTTTTCCTCTAGAACGATAGAAGAAAACACCATCTGCCATTATTTTGGGCTCAAACTTTGGGCATTTAAGACTATTGTGTCATAATTTCTGGTTTCCTTTATGAAAATCAAACTAGTTCTGGTTATTTAATGAACCATTGAATTTTCACAAATAACAAATAGAACTCCCACTCTGACTGGTTGAAACCTCAAGAGCTCCTGTTAATCCTGCACCTACACCAGCTGGCTTTTTCTTCTTTCGTCGTCTTCCCTTTTCTTTCTCAATCGTAACTATGAGATTACCAGTTTGTGGTGATTCCACCAAACTAGAGATCTCAACTAATGCTGCAGACTTCGACACTGAAGATGATGATAACAAGAGTGCTTCTTTTTGAGGTTCTGACACATTGATAGTTCTTTCTTGGTAACCCTGCTTATCACATTATTTATGAAAAAGTTACACGAGTCTCAAAACAATACAGAAACTAAGGATCCAAATACAAAAAAGAAAACAAATATTGATTTGTTGCAGGATTTTACAATTTATGATTTCATCGACATCTGATCATACCACCACAAAGATTTTGTTTCACTCTATCCAAGAATCGGAAGAATGTAAGCCTCAATGACTTGAGGAATAAAATAGGACCGAAGACTCCCCAAAAACCCATCACAAACCCCAAAACCATGGGAATGATAAAAGTATCTGTAGCCACTCCTACTCCATTGTCATCTTTATCTCCTTCAGCTCCACCACCACCACCAACCGTTGGAATTTGGGACATATAATCTCCAGTGCAGCCTTTTGTGAGTGAAGGTCCACAGAGTCTTTTGTTACCAAGAAAACTGGATGCAGTAAAACCTTGAATTTGTGTGCCAGATGGAATTCTTCCTGACAAATTATTATTTGACAAGTTCAAGTGACTCAAGAAGGTCAAATTGGACAAGCTCTGAGGAATAGCACCAGAAAGTTGGTTTGCTGGAAAGTCAAGGGATTCCAAAAATTCCATTTGGTTTCTTCAGTTATACACAAACCAACAGTCAAGGAATTTATAATAATCAACCCAACCTCAACTTTATTCAAGACAAAGCAATAAACCATTGAGTAGTTCAACCACTTCATTTTCTATAAAACAAGGCCACTAAAATGTAAAGGTTCGATTTAAAATATGAATATGACTTAACTTTCATGTAGATGTAGGTAAGCATTAAAAAAAATATGTAGGTTGGATCTGCTTCAGGACACGGTAGACCCAACCCCTACGTGATGAGAATGTTCAGAACTAATTTCAAACCAAACCCCATAGGGTCTTTCGACTGGGTCTAACCTGAACTGGACTTGGTTAGTCCGCCATCTGTGGATTCGTCCAAAGTTGCAACCCCTTAAAACTATTTAATGCGATATCTTAATGGTAGTAGGGCTGTCAACGTGTTGGGTCTGTGTAGAACTGAAGAAACCAATATAGCCACTTGACTTTTGATCAGAAGCCATGGCACTGAAGTTGTTAAAACACTGAGGCATGGATCCTGACAACTTGTTATGCGAAAGGTCCAAAGAATTCATTCTGGCCAATGTTGATAAATAGTTCTGTGCAATTCTGCAGAGATGAAGGTAACTCTCCAGTCAACCTATTGTTACGCAAGTGCAATGACTGGAGCTCGGTTAGAGAACCAAGGGATTTTGGAAGGTTCCCACTTAGGTTGTTGTACCCCAGATTCAGCACATTCAGCGATTGCCAGTTCATCCAACAATCTGGAATCTGTACTAACAGAAGATTGTTTGAGAGATCAAGATATTCCAGTAAATTTGGTTCACTGAACTGATCACAAAGGAAATGGGTGATAGACCGAGAAAACAAGGTGTTGGAAAGGTCGAGTTCAACTACACCAGAAATGAAACGGGGTAGTAGTCCAGTTAAGTGATTGTGACCTAAATATATTGCTGCACAATCAGCTTGTGTTCTCGACAATCCTGGAAAGCTACCATGGATTTGGTTGTGAGACAGGTCTGCAAAGAATATCTGAGAAGGCAATTTCCAAAACCAATTAGGAATGGTATCTGAAATTCCTGTATTGGACAATACAGGATAGTCCTTTCTTGGTACATTACACATATACCTTCATCAATATGATTCAAAGCTTATCTATTCCCTTTTTTCTACTAATGGAAAAGTATCCCTATCACAGGTCTCATTTTGCAAATTTGACTTCAATAAGCACATCCATATAGTTGAAAGTTCAAAAGTTAAGAAAGTATCACCTGAATGGGAGTTGCCTTCTTAATGGTCTTTGGTAATTCATCAGCCAATATTGGCCAGAATGGGCTTAATTCTTGGCGAACCTAATAGCAGAAGTAAAGGTTAACTTGACAAAAAAGGAAAAGAAGTGAAGATACCGAAAGTAAATGAGAAGTAACCAATGCTACATTACATCATCACCTTTTGTATCGCATGCCATGTCGACTCAAATGGGTAGGCCTCTGAAGTTCTAACTACAGGCTCATCTTCTAATAAAACTTTGACACATGCCAGCACCGAATTTGCCAGAGAATCAAGATTATAGCCTCCTTCTAGAGCCATCACTATCTTTCCCTAAGCAAACTCCATTAGCTGAAAAGCAATTGAAAAATAAAATCAAATGAAAAGCAAGATAAAGAATTCTCCACAAAACAACTTTCAGAGTGCAAAGTTATGAGAGATACTTTTCTGGGCAATATAATGAGTTATTTTGAAATCTGAGTATAAAGTTTAGAAAGAGAACACAGAGCAGGCATAATTGAATGCTAACCTTTTTCATCATAACAGAATATCCATATGGTGTGATTTGACAACCTCCTAGAGGATCACCTATGGCTGTTCCAAGAATCAAACCTTTTCCATGCTCCCAAGGAATCAAAATATAGTCCCAAACTGCCAGGTAGTCTGCATCACCACATTGCCCATGCTCCCAGGGAACATTTACATTATATCCTGCACCTAATCCTTCTCCAACCATAGTGTAAAAACCACCATCTCCCCTGGATAAAAGCTTCCAGAGTCAAACCTACATGGATAGAATCAGCCCATAAAAATAATGATTAGAGGTTTCCTTCTTTCTTAAGACAATGAAAAATAAACTCTGTTCAGTTATTTGGTATCGAATATGCAATCCGGTGGTTAATGGTGCAGAAAATCCAGATAAGGTGCAGTCTCAAGTCTATCAAATCTGTCAAGATATCTAGTCTAAGTGTTGGAAAATGCAACCAAATACCACAAAGAAATAGATAAAAAAAAGCTTCAAGAAAATCAATGAAATTGATACAACAAGAGTGATTAGAGCTCCAATCTTCTTTACAGGTTCTGTTCAAGGCTGCAACAATAAGGTCAAAAAACTGCAACCTATGAGTGGGAAAAGTTTTTAGAGATTAACATTCTTATATACCTATGAACAGAGAAGAACAACACCCGAGGGTCCTTCCAGAACATTGGTAACAATAAAAACACCCTTTCAAACATTGGAAGCATGAATATAAAAAGGAATGCAAACCTTTGATCGATCCCACTCCATCAGCAAAGCTGCAAGATTATTCTTTACCTGTGGAAAAGAATATCAATTAAAAGAGAGAAAAAAGCCAGCAAACCCTTGCATTCTACAAATCACATCATGGTTTTCCCATCTAACCCATGGAATTTTGGAATAAAAGTAACAGTAGTCATAAGACACTTACCCAAATTATAACATCGCATTAGGAATTCTGAGGAAGACTGAACTCAAATGACCTCTTATTTAATTACTTTCACCTTTGTGAGGATGATGGGTGAGTCCATAGTGCGAATGACTTTTACAAAATAGAATAGGGAGCTAAGTACAGTCAGAGTAACTATTGAAGATTAAAGAGTGAGATTTCAGTCATAATATGGAATTGGGATATATGACATTAATATTTATCTCTTGAACTCACATCCCAAAACAAATTCTAATGGAAAAAGAGAACTCAATATTTCTAAACCATACTGATAGTAGTGTGTCCTTGTCTCACATTACACCAAATTCGTATAGAAATATTATGAAATATGAACAGTACTTTTATCAATGAAACATGAACAGTATTCAATTCCATAAGCTGAGACCAACAATGGGTAGTGGCCCTTTTATTCAATTCCATACGCTCTTTATTCTTCAAACTTCATTCAACACAACATAAGGTGTTCATTGGTCTTGAAGGAGTTGGGATTGGATGTATGCATGTCTGAAATCCAGTGGCAAGCTGAAAAAATATTCCACCTCACTCATGTCACTAGTCATCTTCCTTCCTACCTTCATCCTTGCATTCATGCTTAAACTAGTGACCTTCATTAACTCGTCAAACACCCTCATCCTCATCTCTCTACCCTCTTTGTCAATAAGAGCATCTGCCACTTGAGATATTATTTCCCTTACCACGGAAAAGTGTTGTCCCACCCTAGACAACTCATCTACAAGAGCCCTAGCCACGGGATCATCATCTGTGTTGCTTCTTGATCTCTTACTTGCTCTATGAGGATGAGGGGCTGATGAAGCACCTAATTGAGGTAGATGATTAGGGGATTGTGTGGTAGAATGAGAAGCTATGATGAATGAACTCTATTCCATAATATTGGGTTTCTTCACCATTGATTGATTCACCCACTATAGGCGGGTTGTTATACTCCTCCCTTTCCACATTTTCTGCAGCATCAGCAGGAGCCTCTACACTCTCCCCAGTTGCTCTATCTCTCCCAAATATAATGGAAAGGCCATCAAAAAATGGGAAAGGCTTGTTTCTTAACCCCTTAGCATGTGGATGGCTCTACATTTATTAAAACAAAAGTACATTAACAAATTAGAAGTTATGTGAAATAGATATAAACATTTGCTTCATTATAAATTATAATTGATAACAATTACCTTAACCCAACCATTGAAGACCTCGTCTTTACAAGTGATACACTTTTTTACATCATCCCATCCAAACCCTGAGCAACTAGGGCTGAGCATCTCACAAATGGCTGCATACTGTCTCTTCATATGTTTCACTCTAGACTCAATGTGTGGGTTTGCTTTCAATCCACATCCAGGGAGGTTCGTTTCCATGAACCTCTCTAACTGATTCAAGTACCCTGACTTGAAGGTCCCATTGTCTGATCTCCACATCCTAATATGAACTAGCATCATTAATCCTTCAATTAACTTGCCTTCTTCTTCTTTTGACCAAATTCTATTTTGTCTAGTTGGTTGCCTTTTTTCCTTGTCTTTGCTAGCCATGTCTAAAAAGCAAGTAATATATAAACATAAGGTAAATACAAGCAAATAAATCAACAAATGCTACTGAAACAAACCACTATTTACTAAACATCACAAGAGTAATACACAATAGTCTCATAGTAAACATAATGAACAAGTAGTACTTTATTACAACACAAAAGTAACAAATAGAAATTGCTATTGGTGTCTAAAGTGTTGCCACATTTGATTCGCCAAGTCGTCTCTAAATGTATTTCACTCCCTACTACCATCGAGGCTTGTTATTCGTTCATCATCTACATCAGTTGTACTTTGGCCTTGTTCACCAACAAAAAATTCTTCAAGTCCTGCTTCCATGGGGTCATTTGGCATGCTTCTCCGTATGTAGTTGTGTAGGAGGCAACATGCAATAATGATCCTAACTTGGGTTTTTATTGGATACCAAGTTGAGGTCCTAAGTATTGCCCATCTTATTTTAAGGAGGCCAAATGTCCTCTCAATTACATTCCTGGCTGCGGAATGTCTCCTGTTGAAAATCTCAGTTAGGGTGTTGGGTTGGTGCCCTTGCCTCCACTCATTTAGATGATATCTTTGTTCTCTATAAGGTGTTAAGAATCCATCACTATTAGGGTACCCGACATCACACAAATAATAGCAACCTAGACAAGTAACAAAACATATATTAAATTAGTAAATACTCGCATTGGTTCTCTCTAAACTATTTCCTTAGTGGTTAGGGTTTATTATAAACCTTGTGGTACTTTCAAGCCATTTCTCCTTGAGATGGCATCACGCAGGACTCTGGTGTCATGGGCAGATCCCTCCCAACCAGGTAAAACATAAATGAATTGCATGTTTAGGGAGCAAACACCCAAGACATTTGTTGCAATTTCAGCCTTTCTCGTTCAATACTTAGGCTTATCCTTTTTAGGCACTCGAACTCTAATATAGGTTCCATCTAGAGCCCCTAAACAATTCTACACACATACACCAATAAAAAGATGCATTTAAGGATAATAATCCTAAATATATGTTGTAATGGAAAAACAAATATATAAAAAAGTAGACAAACCTTGAATCACTTCCATTTCTCATCAATTGAGTTTGAAGTCATAGGCCAGGGTTTTTTTGAGTAGAACTTCATGTAGGCATAGCACTGCATTCAACACCAAATTGAAGTCCTTACTTATGGTAGACCCAAACCTCCTATAATGCCATTGTTGCTCTCTATTCTTGACATCATGTGCCAAAATGTTTAGGAAGCATGCAATCATCTCATCCACGCCACATCAGAAACCACAACCATAGTTTTGATGTTTGAAAGCCTTCTTATAATCCTTTGCTCAGTTGTCTCCATATTGATGTCATCTTCACCATCACTACTTAATCTCCTAAAGACCCTCAACATTCTCTTCCTATTTTGAATGGTATCAGTAACCAATACAACCAGAAAAGTATATTGCAGCAACATTGCATAGTAAGAACAAAGCAAAGTCGCAACCAATTTTTTCTTCCTATCCATAGCTAGTGGAGGCCGAGGCATGTCTCTGCAAAAGATCACGGCTTCATTCAGTTATGACATACATAATGAGTCCAACCAATTTTTACTTGCAATTTGATATAGTTGTCCATGTTTCTACATTATCGAGATGATATGATGCATTGATATTACATCACAAGATTGCAAAGCACATATACCAAAAAAAAAAAAAGAATCAACCCAAGATAACAATAAGCTCTAGTTCAGTCCTTTATACAATAAGGTAGCATAAAGGGGAGGCTGTATTGAAAGGTAGAAGTTTTTTTTCTCAGTTTGTTGTGTACCCTTTATTTCTTTCCTTTAATTCTAATAATGTTGTCTAGATCAGTCCTTATACAACAATAATGTAGTGAATTATGGTTAATTATATTTGAATTAGATTTCTGTAATTGCATTTGCATGGGTGCTGTTTTAAACTCTTGACGTTCTTGATTTTTGAATGTTGGTTTTTGTCTCTTGATCTTGCTTTGCAGGTGTGGATAAAGATTCTCATTCTCCTTCTTATACAGGGGATGTTGTATTGAATGTTGCTGAGTTCAATTCTCATTTTCATTCCTGTCCAAACCAAATAGACTATGAGAATAGACCATTCCAATTCCAATGCAAATCAACCCTAAATCATTAGATTTGGTCACATCAATAGTTTCAAACGGCCTCTTACTCAAGGGAATTTAATAGCTGGCTTGTGAAGTCCATAATCGAAGCCCACTGAATGCCTAAACTTTACCAATCAGAGTTGTCCATTAGATAGGATAGGGTGAAATGTTTACTCCCCTGTCCACATCAGCCCTACAGTACCTGCCTATCTGGAGTTTTCTTTCTCAAAGTGATATGAAAGCTACAAAGCTTCATTTTTGTTAAATTAAAAGTTCATCATTGATAAGGACTTATTTAAGGAAATGGCAAGGCAGTTTAGGCTGAAATTTTCCCAGTGCAAATGCTCCTTATGCTGCATTTAGTAAGAGTATAGAAAGTAAATGCAAATCTGTTCAAATAGAAGGGTGCAAAACAGGTTCAATTTTGCACTGAGAAAATTTAGTGTCTGTTTGATTGTGATGAATGCAAACATGAATCCCGGGGCCACTCTATTTTACATTACCTAACTTTGAGTGCAAAGTTTATGACTATTAACATTCCACAGTGGGGAAGCCTCCAAAACATATAAGTTGTTTAAAATGGTTAGAGTAAGAACCATGGGCAACCACATACAGGTATAAGGCTATAAGCTTTACAGATGTAGGTCTTTGGCAATGAACCCAATACAACAGAAAAGTTTAATAAAGTGGGACCGTACTTAGTAGAATTAACATCACATGAGCCAAAAGCAAGAACATTAATGGAGTTGCTTCACCTATAGTGAAGAGAGCCTAAGCAAGAGTCTGAGTGCCTTTGAAAATACAGAAGAGTTGGATCAGTTAAAACCTATAAAATATAAATTTTACAGTAAACCCAATCACCATGACATCTGTTTTTTGTTTGTCTCATGATTCTCCCACATTCAACCACTAGCGCACCCTCCAATCCATCAGTCACTATTCTTGTTCTAAAAAGCATAAAATTTGAAATTTTACAGTTGAATCCAAACCCTAGACTGCCTGTCCTCTGCAGGTTGATTCTAATGAGAGAGATACTCTCAGCATTAAGTTGCAGTTTTTTATGGTAATATAAAATATATTTTCATTAAACCAAAAAAATAAGTAGAGCAATTTTTTGAAAAGTTTTTACCAAATCATCCACAAGAATACAAATAAGAATAAGTCAAAATGATCCATCAGATACATCAGACACACATCTCCCATAGTCAAACCAAAAGTAGCCCATAGGTTTTCTCCAAGATATAGTCTACTTATATCCTTAAACTCAGCATAAGATAATAACCAACGACAAACCAGGGACCAGGAACATATCTCAGCTACCACTTTCCTTCTCAGATGATACTTATATTCAAAATGCAATTGTTTCTTTCTTTCCAAATGCCCTCAACAAGTGTACAGTGCTCCAAAGAATTCACTTTTATCCCACCCAAGATCTTAGGCCACTTCGAGAAGCTTTCTAAGGATTAACCAGGCTTGGCTTCTGGATGTCAATCATATTGAAAAAGCCCCAAATGAAAGTTGTCCATGAGCAATGAATAAACAGATGTCTCATGTTTTCCTTTTCTCTACACAAAAAATACGTGTTGGAAAACTGAAAGCCTCTTGATTTCAAATGTTCCAAGATCAGAATGCTGTCATTCTGTACAGCATAAAACCATCCATTTGCTCCATCTCCCAATCCATAAGCCATAATCAACCCCACAATATTTGTTCCTCCACCAGACTTGAGAACCACAGCAATTCCTCACCCCATCCCAATGCACCCTCAACGGGTGCAACTTGGGTAGGCTCAGGTTGAGCATTTGTTAAAATTTGAGCCCAAGCTTGATGCTGTATAAATTCTTCAAATCCAGCACCCAATTTGCGCCCATAGCACCATCCATCATTAAGTTTCCCAGCACAGAACCATATACAATAGAAGAGTTGGAAAGAGAAGAAAAGAGAGGAAGACAAAGGGAAAGAGTGGGAGGGGTAGGCTTTGGGTGCCATCAGTCACATGCAGGAGAATCATGACATGAACAAAGAACAGAGGGTAAATGGTAATTGGGTTTACCACAGTTTATAGTTTCTAGGTTCTAACAGATATAGATGCAATACAGAAATATATTTTAGAGTGGTTGTCTACAAACATTTATCTTTTTTTAAAAAAAGAAAACTATATTACAGAAATAAAGGGTTACAAATTAAAAAGAAAAAAAGAAGAAAAAACAAGTATTGAGATAACGCCCAACAACTAGCAATTACATGCACACAAATCACACAAATCTAACTCTTCTAGCCACCCACCCCCACCAACAGAGATTATTTGGCCAAAACCAAACGACCACATCAACCATACAGACACCTCCTTAAAGTTATCCAAGGACTTATGGACTGAAATTTGGGCATTGATGGAATATGTAAGGACGAGAAAAGGGTGGGGAGGATCTTTTGACCTCCCAACTCAACTCTACTCTGCTGAGCAGCCTAAACTGAGTTCTGCCATCAGAGGACTCTCGCCTCTTAGGTTGGGTCTAGGTCGCCAGTTCACCCTGGGCCAAGCCGCCAGGTGGGACACCATCAAATTGGCAAAGACAAGTTGTTGCCTAAGTGGTTCCGGGTGTCACCTAATTGTTCCGAGGTGCCATGTGTCACAATATCATTGGAGGGCCAAATCCGCCCTCATCATTTGCCCCCCACTTCCGAGCTGAAAGTAACTCGGCAAAGGGAGTAGGTTGCTCCTTTTGGCCTGAAATGACTAATTCGATGAGCTCATAAGCGTCGATTGAATTCCTTAGGCTCTGGGAGCGACTCGCAATCCACTCTCCTTACCCTTGATTTTGCCCATGCCGAAGAGGCGACTGGCTCTTATGTGGTGCCGAAGTCTTTGCCAGTTTGGCACTTTA